CCCGCCATGGCCCCGCCGCGCGCCCGCGCGCTCCTCCGGCTGCTGCCGCCGCTGCTGCTGCTGCTGCGCGCTGCGCCACCCGGCGGCGCCTTCAACCTGGACGCCGAGAGCCCCACCGAGTACGCCGGCCCCGAAGGCAGCTACTTCGGCTTCGCCGTGGACTTCTTCGCGCCCAGCGCGTCCTCGTAAGTGGCCGCGCGTGGAACCGAGCCGGGAGCGGCGCGATCGGGACCCGGGGTCCGCGCGCCCAGCCCCCCGGGCGCCCTCGGGGGACTCTCCGACCCTGATGGGCGCCCGGGGGACCCCGGCCTCCGGGCCGGCGGGGAGGGCGCAGAGCGGTCCGCGGGCGGCGCCGGGCCTGGGCTCCCGCTGCGACACTCGGCGAGTCGCCTGTGTCCCTGCGCGGCGCCCCCCGTGGGGCCCCTGTTCCCGGGATCGCGGGGAGCGCCTGGGCTGTAGGTCGCCCAAACTGTAGGGTTGGGGGCCCAGGGGCGACTTCTAGTCGTCCACATCCCACCTGCGGGCGAGCGTCAGGACCAGAAAGTCCTGATCGCTGTCAAAGTAAAAGTTTCTCGCCCTTGGCCAGGGCTGACCCGGGTTCCCCTCCCCACCCCCACGGCACGGTAGGAGCCCTGCTTCATCAGCGTCCGCGGGATGCTTTCGTGATGTTTACATCTGGCCGTCCAGCGGGAAGCTGTTCTCGCCCCCATCTAAGCGCTTCCGACATGGTCTCTGGTTGTTGTATATTTTCTGGGATGTGCGGAGGAGGCGCACGGAATAATTTTGATGGTCAGGACTTGGACCGGACCGCGTTTCCAATACACAAATGCTGGATGGGAGGCGAATCTAAATATTTTTTTGATGATGCCAGGACATTCTGCAGGGTTCGTTCTCTTGGCAGCCACCTTCACAGCGACGCACAGTGTAGATGCAGCGAGTGGAAACTAGCTCTGGCTTTCTGTAGCAAAATTTGTTATTTGCACTACAGCGCTTCCTGTGAGACCTGAGCTCGGATTTTCCAAAGTGATAGATGGAATCACTAACTGCGGGAAGCATTTATAAGCTTCATTAATTTGTGTGTGTGTGTGTGTGTGTGTGTGTGTGTGTGTGTGTTGCTAGGGTTCAACCCAGGAATACCAAGCATCTGCTTGACCCAGCCCCTCTAGTTAATCATTTTAGTTCGCTTTAACATTTTAAAATTTTGTTTCCAGGTATTTTTAAGTGTATGCCTTTTTAGAATAGAATATCTTAGTTGCTTCCAAGGGTGTATTTTTAGATTTCATTTGTACAGTGATTCTAATAACTGTGAAAGCATATTACCTGTTTCGTGAAGAGTTAACATGTAATTGCTTCCAAGGTGACAGATACAATGTTTTGGAAATGTTACTGCTCATTGTTGAATCCCTCAGAGTTTAACATAAGAATACACAAAAAGTTTTATAAAGGGGCTGGGGCTGGGGTCACCAGGACTGAACCCAGGCTCTCATTATTGACTATATGCCCAGCCCTTCTTCAATTTTTTGTTTTGAGACAGAAATTCATAAGTTGCTAAATTCATAAGTTGTTCAGTCTGGGCTCGAACTTGGCATCCTCCTGCATCAGTTTGCAGGAGTGCTGAGATTATAGGTGTGCAACACCGCATCCCTTGTACATGTTTACATACTTGCAACTGTTTTTACCATAAAAAGTGCAGTACTGTTGAACTAGTATCGATATTTGCTGCAGTGGAGTATAATAAGCACGTGGCTGATTTTAGACCTATCATGTAGTTATGATTGTTAACTACTCATCTGTGACCTCTCATGTTATAATATTTTAAAATATTCATCAGCAACTTTGTTATTAATAGATTAGAGAGCTCCAGGTATAGCCTGATTTAAAAACACAGAAGCCAACTCTGAGTTGTTTTTTAAGCAAAATGTCTAAACAAATGTTTCTACTTAGGATTTTTTTTTTTAGAGTAAACAAAGCTTAACGTAAAAAGTATGTTGATTTTGTCAAAAGGCACCTTTAAATTTAGCAATTTTTGGAATCCAAGGTATATGGGATGTCATTACTCTGTTGTGAGTTGGGTGTGTTGTGGTTGTTGTGTGGTGTTGTCATAAACTTATAAATGAAAACAAAAATGTGTTTGGTGGTCAGTAGTTCCATTCCTTAGTAGAGAATGAGTGAGGCAGCCACAGCTTGAAGCCAGCTCTTGTTTCTTAAAGTAATCAAGTACCTTGAGCAAAGTGCAGCATCATTTTAAGGCTCATTTTTCTGGTTACAGAGAATTTTTAAATTTTGGTCATATCATGGTGAAAAATGAATAGATCACTGTTTATTAAACAGGAGAGAAAATCACATACTAAGCAAAAATGTGAAAATAGTTCCTCAAAATAGCACTCTAGAAGTCAGTCTTAGGTTTGCAGTCACAATTGGCAAAGATGGTGATCTAAAATTATGAAAAAAGGGCCGGCCAGATAGCTCAGCAGACTGAAGTACCTGCTTAGGCAGAGCGCAGTGGCTGGGGTTCCATCCCCAGCGTGCTGTGCCAGCCTGCCCCACCGTGCCAGCCCCGCCGTGGGGCACATTGAGACAGTGATTAAGACTGGACATGGTGGCGAGTGCCTGTAATCCCAGTGCTTGGGAGGCTGAAAACACGAGGATCACCATGAGTCCAATCTGTGTAGTGAGACCCTGCAGACCCTGTACTAAGTACATAGAAAAAGATTATGAAAAATACAAAGTTAGCCCCCCATGTCATTTCTTCTAGAAACATTAATTGATGAGAACCATATTGTTCAAATGGCATGTTTAAATGTTGTGCAGGGGCTAGGGAGATGGCTCAGTGGAATAAGTGCTTGCCTGGCAAGCACAAGGGCCTGAGTTCAATCCCTGTTTCCATCAAAAAAAAAAAAAGTAAACGTGCAAAGGCCAGGAAGTAGTCATGTTTTTCTTGTAGAAAATAATTTGGTAAATTAAAACATTGCATATTAGGTTAATAATAACGATACTGTATTTTGGTAAAACTCTTTCATAGTCTGTGAGCTGCACGTAACTCTTTTCATCCTAGAGCACAGGCCGGGGAGATGGCTCAGTGGAATAAGCACTTCCCAGGCAAGTGCAAGGGCCTCAGTTCAATGCCTAGTTCCGCCAAAAAAAAAAAAAAAAAAACCACTAACAAATGAAAATGCATCCATAAAAAAGGTTAGTACACACATCCTAGAGCACAGGTCCCAGAGGATGGTTGGGGGGGACTGATCTGTTCATCCTTACAGATGGGAAAATCCAGGCCGAAGAGGTTGTTGGCCTTTAGTGTTGGAGCACTTTGCTGTGCAGAGAGGCGAGGAGGTGTCCTAGTCACTTTCCTGTCTTTGGGATGCCAGACCTGACACCCGCAGTGTAAGGAAGGAAAGGTTTCGCTCAGCCTGTAGAGGTTTCTGTCCCAGCTGGTGGGCTCCAAGGCAGGGTGGCACGGCACAGTGGGTGTGTCGGGGAGGGCTGTGCCGACCTGGCGTCCAGGAAGCGGGGAGTGAGTCAGGGGAGGGGCGGGGAGGGACATGCAGCCTTCCTGGTCAAGTCCACAGTGATGCGCCTCTTCCAACCAGACCGCACTCCTAACAGCAAGCCAGCTGTAAGCCCCCATAATTCAGTCACCTTCCAAAGGCACTGCCCATGATGGCCTAAGGCTTTAGGGGGACATGTGGCGCATTTCCCCACAACTGCATTGAGTCCATCTCTAAGAGTTGCCAGAGTTCTAATAGCTCTAGCAAAGGCTGCCAAGTTTAACTCGAGTATCTCCTCTGAGGGCCAGCCAGATAGCTCAGCAGACTAAAGCACCTGCTTAGGCAGACACAGGGACTGGGGATTGATCTCTGGTGTGCCCTGAGATGACATCAGCCTGGGCATGATGGTGCAAGTGCCTGTAATCTCAGCGCTTGGGAGGCTGAAAACAGGAGGATTGCTATGAGTAGGATCTGTGTAGTGAGACCCTGTAGATTCTGTGCTAAACACATTTAAACAAAAACAAAAAACAAACAAAAAAAAAACCTCCTCTGAGACTCAAGAAAAACTCTTACCTGTGAGCCTCTATAAAAAGAAAAAAGAAAATTAAACACTTTCAATAGACAATGGCACATGGTAAACGTGCCCATTCCAAAAGGAGGAATAGAGCATAGAAATAAATTGGACCAAAGCAAGATGAAACCCAGAAAGATAAACATTAAATTCCACTTAGAGCACCCAGGATGAGGTGGTTAGAGAGAGTTTGGCCAGCGTTTCCTGTGACATTCCTGGTGGCTCCAGGCCTCAGGGCTTCTCTCCTGCTGGCTTCCCTCCCTGCCTGAAGCTGTCCTCAAACATTCCATGCTCCAGGCTCCCCCTACTTGCTGGGCTCTCCAGGGTGCTTTTGGTTTCATATCCTGACCCGGGATTTCACCACTTGCCTTTTCCCCATTAGGGACAAGTAAGTGTAGGTTTGGTTTGTTTTTTTCTCCCTACAGTACAAATGTCAAACACAAGGGTGGGCATGGGTGAGTTTGCAAAGATTGTTTTGAATCACCCCTTGTTTTCACACTGTGGCCTTCTGAAATCTGGGTGGAAGCCTTTCGGATCCACAAATTCTTCATGCAGCAAGCCTATATAACCAGCACCAGCAGTGCCAAGGTCTGCTGCCTGCTTGAGGGGCAGTTGGGTTTCTTGTATAATGTCTGTAGAAGTCTCTTAAGTGCCTGAAGTCAGAGTAGAGTACTAAGAACTGAACCCTGGGGAACAAATTCTCCAGATACCCTTTCTCCAGTGTGGTGTATGCGTGGACTCCCCCCCCCCCAAAAAAAAAAAAAAAAAGAAAACCTTTCACTTTTGTAATGTTGAGCCTGTAAAGAATGAGGCCTTGTGGCTTACTTATCTGCCCTTAGGCAGTTTCTTCTATTGTGCTTTTTTTTTTTTTTTTTTTTTTTCTATTGTGCTTTTTGAAGTATTTGGCTTCTTAAATGCTAATTCTTATGCAACAAAGCTCGCCTGTGCTTTATCTTTGCAGGCCCTAATTTATCAGTTCCTGTCTGTCTGGTGAAACTCAAAACTTTCCAAAAGAAGTTTTTGCTTCTGAATATCAGTACAAACCTGGTTAAAGAGGGCAGGCAGTACCCATGCTAGGTACTCAACAGTGGGCTGCCTTGAAATTTCCTTCAGAAGGTAAATTACC